TAAACTTTAAAAATCGAGAAACTTGTAAAACTCGAGAAAATTTTTGATAAAACTTTGACATAATATGAAATTTGAATTAACGATTATCTAATTTCAATTTCAATTTTTTGAACAATTATATTTTTAAATGAGAATATATATGAAAAACTAGATCAAAACATTGAGAAGCAACGAATGTTTTGAAGGAATTAAAAAATTATTAACATTTAATTAACGAGCCTTCTTAAACAAATGACAACTGCATCGATAAACCATCGTAACCAAGCGAATTCGATGCGTCGTCCCGTTTCAATGGGACGACGATAAATAACCGAAAATGATCACGCCATTCGAGTCAGTAGTAATTCTAGCAATAAATCCGACAGTGCCGTTTAACCAATAATCGCGAACGTCATCTAGGGAATCGAGGATTACGGTTAACGGCACATGAACAATCAACCAATCACATGTACCTAATATTTACCATATATACCGAGCAGAACGATTAAGAAATTTATCCACGTACAGGACCGTTCAATCTTTCTTTATTATAGGACGTAAAATTTAATCGTTTGAATAAAAGATTCTCTTGTTCTAGATAAGTCAAAATACCGATTGATCTTCATAAATTCGAAACCAAATTTCGCTAAAATTCGAACAATTATGAATAAAACGAGAATTATGTAAGCGTTATTAATACAACTTAAATTCGCGCGTATCGAAAAATGTTGTCGCTTTCAATCGATTTTAATAAGTTGTTTATTTATTTTGTATCTTATGTTCGATTTTACAATTGGACATTAGATTTCATGACAAAAATTTTGAAAAAAATGTATAATTTGTTTCCAGAATACATAAAAAAAAAAAAGAATATGCTGAAAAGTGAAAAATAAAAAATATATTTATTATTTAATCTTATAACGATTATTTATATTAATGATTTAGTTTCCAAGTATATAAAGATATAAATTCATATTTTTATCGTTAGAATTTGTTTTTATAAAGTACTTTCTGATATTTAGATGAACGAGAAATTGAATATAAAGAGAAAATAAAGAGAAAAAGTAATTATAACTACATAAAATAATTCTTTTAAGTTAGCCGCACTACACATTTAATAATGGCGTACTTAATACGTGGCAATGGCCGTTCTTGACGCGTGTGTAAACTAACTACTCGGCCATGAACCCATTAATTAAAAAGATGGTGAAAGAAAAAAATTCTTTTCAAACTCGCATGTTCCCAAACGGAACAACAGAAAAATAATCATTTAATGATAATTTTTGGGATGAATTGCATGTTTGACTAGTTTGTTTATATTTGTGTATTCTTCGAGAATTTTTATCAAAATTTATTATTAATAAATTTTAGAATATTTCTTGAATTAAAACTTGATCTTATTTAATGTTTAAATTATTTCATATATAAAAAATTATAAAAATAGAATGACGAATGATATTTCAATAAAAAATATTGATTTCCATATTTTTTTATTCTGAAGTATACTTAAAGATTAACAACTTAATTAATTTCATTAATTAAATTCAAGTATTGATATGCATTGAAAAGCATTACAGAAAAATAAATTCTGCAAAAAACGAGGCTACCTTGTATAATACAAATAAAACTATATTTCTTACAAACTTTCGAATATTCTTTCTTTTCGCGGTATAAACACGAGGGCGTACCGAAGATTCTGTAACTAGGTTAACCCTGATAGAATTAAAGACGCTGCATATCTACTGCCAGAGATTCATAAAATCGTGCAAGAAGCGATTTAAATTCTGTATTTACCTACAAAACTGCCAGCGGGAAAGTGCAATACGAATATTTACGTAATTTGCCTTTTATGCCTGTCAACGCTGAGAGAACTCAGCGAGGACTGTTATCCTCGGTTGCTAAATTAGGTAGATTTAAGCGCCACACAAGTGACTGTAAACTACGAGACTACTTAACGCGAAACGAAAAGTCTATCTTGAAACTGTTTTTTTTTTTTCCTTTCACGTTGCACAAAAATCAAAACTATATTATATACAACGCGTTTCTCATGCAGTTCGAAGATTCGTAACTAGGTTAATCTTGATAGGTATGGAATTTCCCTTGGGATTCCTAAATCGGTAAAGGCATCGAGAACACCAATAGATCGATAATTTCACTTATCTACATCGACCAAATTATATTCATAAAAATTATATATACAAATAAAGTGAAAAAAAATCTTACAATAATTAAAAATATAAGTGAATTGTTTCAATCGACCTTTCTTTCTCCCGGCATTTCAAACGTATCACATTTTCGCGGCATAAACACGAGGGCGTTCCAAAAGCAACGCAACTAGGTTAACTCTAATATCCACAGTGATATAAATGATCTTTGACGAACACGAGTAAAAGTTCCGTAGAAAAAAAACATAAATATTCTTTACTCACCCGCGAAGCAGCTGATCGAGACTGACGACGACGACGTCGGCGGCGCCGATGACGATGACGACGATGACAGGTTATAACCTTTGATTCCACCGTGACCGAGGATCCCTCGCGACAGGTCGACAGCTCGAAATATCATACGCGATTGTGAAGAATGATATTACTGAAAGGAAGAATACAATCCGAACCGCGTATCGACTCGTCGACTGCGGCAATACCACTCACTGCACCGTTCGCCACGAGTATGCACAATGAAACGATAGATGAACATACGATGACAACGAGGACGACGACGACGACGACGAGCAAAGGGTAGAAAACGTTTCTCTGCTTTCACCACCGACACCGCCCTCGCGCCTCACCACACTCGCCGCAGTATTACGCATGCGTGACGCCGCCTCGATTGTGCGCATGTGTACACATCTTATTCCTGTTTCCAAGCTTTCGTAGCAAAACGGAATTCTCGTGCACGGCGAAACTTTCGGAAGCACATTACATTCCCGTTACAATGTTTCCGACGTGTTTCTGTCACCTTTATCAAACTCTATCCTCCACATTTGTCAGTTTTCAAGCTTAAAGTACCATCATTCTCAATGGCTTTACTATTTCAGCAGATAATTAATGAAACTTGAATCATATTTTGAAAGAATTCTTTTGAAAGAATTCTTTGTAACTATTCGATTTTATTTCATAAAATTCTTTTGTTTCTCGATTTATATTTGTTTCATTTGTTGCTTTTTTTGTTTTTTAATTAAAACAAGTATGATTCGTGCTAAAAGATTAATAAGTTATGCTAAATTAAATCAAATGAGAATTTAAAAAAAATTTGTTAGCTTTATTGACTATTAGAATGCAAATTAGATGTAATTTGAAGTTAGCGCGCATAATAGTGGAGCGCGTCGATTATATATATGTATACACATTATCTGATATAAAATATATTTAAACCATTCTGCTAAAATAATTTATTTTTACTTCATAGATTGTCTACAAACAAATATCAAAAGATTCTTTACGTTTTATCTTTTATAATCTTTAAACGAAAATATGAATCAAAAATTAAAAAAAGAAATTTAAAAATATTGTATTCATTTTATACTGCTTATCTTTTTATAGAACAATTATGACAAATTCATTGCCACCGTGAGATTAAAATATGCGAGATTAAAATAATCTTTCTAAAGAAAGACTATTATAAAATATGCATAATTTAAAATAAAAATTGAAAAAAGAGATTACTTTTTTTTTTAAACAAAAATTTGTTCAACAACAGAATATTATATCTTAACTTATATTCTTTTTCAACGATTTTAATGAATTACAGATAACATAAATATCTCAAGCCGCGAGTTGGTATAATATATATATATATATAACTTTTAGACAATGCAGATTCGATTAAAGTTCAAGGTACAAAAAAGTTTTCCAATTAGAACGGAATGTATTCGAATGAACCTTTCTTTTCTCGACAGCCAACTACCCGGCTGAGACAATCGACGAATAGCACCAAGGAAGAAAGTTGTCGAGTGTCCACAGAATATCTTTCCCAATGAATTCTTCAATCGAGCTTTAACATGGAAGACTATCTATAACGTTTCCCAACTGCTTAACTATTTTTGACTCGACCTTCTGCCGCAGTTCCTTTCCTTCGAAAGTACTTGAAACTTTTAACAAAAAGGAAATAATGCAATTAATAGTTATTCTCAGTAAAAGAAAAGTAATTTTAAATTATTCCTAAAATATTAAAAAAAAATCGTATATCCGCCAAATTAAAATTTTGACGATACGAAAAATATATAACAATTCAAGCGGTTCGATCAATAGTAAAAATACAGTTGAACCGAAAGACGCTCGAATAAAACGCTGTTTCCAAGGGCGACGTACCAGTAATGGATCAAACCGTATCACGTGTTTTGAAACTCGGCGAACCACCTTTCTCGAATATTCAGTTCCGTCAAACGTGCGCCGTGTCATGATTAATTTTACGTATTCCTTTTATACGTGTATTTTAATTAACTGGACATCAGATCCATAGCATTTACACTAACGACATCTATAACTTTAATTTGGGACTCGGGAGTTGAGAAGTGAGCGAGTGAGTGACCGCAATGTGTTAAAGAAGAAAGAAGAAAGGATGAAAGAAGAATAAAGAAAAAGAGTAATTGCGATTTTTATCTTTACCGTTTAAAACAAGCGGTTGATTTGCATTTAAATGAAATGTAAGTTGTTTTTAAAATTAACTAAACTAAAGAAAAAATATGTAGCATACAGGCTAATTCATTTGAATGAATAAAGAATAAAAATCAAATGGATAAATGTAAATATATAAGTCGAATAATCATATTGGTATATCAATAATATCAATATTATAATTGTAATATGTATCCAATATTTTCGACATTGAATATTTTACTAGCAACACAAGCGTTAAATTTATTAAATAAACATCTTTTTAACTCTAATTTTTTCCCCAAAAGCTTGTTTCAAACAAAAATTATCAAAGATATAATTCCATTTGAAAAAATATTAAGAAAAAGAGAAACGTTAACGCGAGATACAAGATAAAATTCAATGTGAAGGAGAAAGAGATACTCAATGGCCACGAATGGTTCTTTACGGTTCTCCCTGGCGGAACGGCCCGTAATTTTAGCAGCGCTCGAGGAGTTCACGAATGCGTTGACCATTTACCACGGAACGCTGAGAAAGCCCACAAAACACGATAACGATATTCTTGTCGACTGTTTACCTTTTGAGTATGCTAAACCAAAATGCTAGATCGAAATTTTACCGATCACGATCGAAAAGTATGTTCTTCTTAAAATTAAAAAATCAATTTTATTTTTATATTCGTTGCAGTGACTTGAAAGCAATGAATCCCAAAATGGAAATTATGGAAATCGACGATGTTAAAGAACGAGACATTTCGAAGAAAATTCACGAAAATAGGTTGGAGAAACGTACAAGAAAACAATTCGTAATAATACGTAATTATGCGTAAAAATAAATGATAATTTTTACTTATTCATTTCTTATTCGAAGCATATTTTAATAAGAAGATGATAAATGATAACACTTTAAATTTTAACGTTTAGTTTATACGTGAAAAGAATCATGGAGGAGTTGAAAATAGAAATACGAGAACGAGGGACGTTCGAATTATTAACCGAAGAGATCGAAAAGATCGTGACACGCGAGAAAGAAGAGGAGTGTTTTTTCAAAGAGGAAGAGAAATTGAGAAAAAGTACAGCAAAATTGCAAAGGATAATCGATGAGAGAAAGATTGTTAACGAGCAGGAGAAAATACGAATGTTGAACGAGCTTTCAAAGGAACAGGTATTCTTATTTTTTCTTGAAAAAATCTTTTGAAATCTTTTAATTTTATAAACAATTATTTTATTCGTTATTTATTTTATTTGTTATTTCTGTTATTTATTTATTTATGCAACACAATAGGATAACGTGGAAAAATTAAAATTAATCTCGAATATGGAGTTGGATTATGTTACGGAATGGGAGAAAGCAAGATACGAGCAGAATTCATTGCGTTGCAACATGGAAGTAAAAAAATTGGAGAAGATGTTAAAAGATCAGCGCGTACGTGAAAAAAATGAACGGCGAGTTCACGCCGAATTAACAAAATTTCTGACCCAGGAAACAGCAGTGAGCGTTATTTCTATTTCAATTATCATAAACAAACTGCGAACTTTTACACAAACGTGTTTTTCAATTACGTTATTTCATACAAAATATATAAATAAACATTTTCTATATTACATTTTCTTTTTTTTTTACAATTTTATTTATAACAATATATGAAACACGAATTGAATAAATGTATATAAATTTCAAACATCGAACATAACCTTAAAGCATTTATGATGTTCATATAAAAAAGAAAGGAAATTAGATAAGATAAAAATTTTCTTTTTAAATCCACAGTTACTAGAGAAAAAAAACAAGGAATGGAAAGAGCGATATATTCAAGAAAAAAAGATCTACGAGAAGGAGATCCAACAGCTACGAATTGAAATAAAAATAATTCAAAAAGAGATGGATAAACTTAAAGAAGAGGTAGCTCGATTTCTATATCAGAGTTCCATGTTTGTTTGTTTTTCTTCAAACGAATATATCAAATTGATCATTGTTCGATCGGAATTTTTTTTTTTAACTTGTAACTTGTATAAATTTATACAATCACGTATAAATTTATATTTTTTTTTCTTTTTCTTTTTCTACATTTTACATAATAAAGTTATCGTTGTCATATTAATTGTAAATCAAAACTCGACACTTTCATAAGCGTAAGAATCAATGTATAACGCGGAAATTCTTTTAGGAAATCGATAACTCGTGTCAAGAGTCTATTTGTGATTATTTTAAATCATGTTAAATTTCATTTAAATGAAAAAATAATAAAGGGAAAATAAATTAGTATTTTGGTTAATTTTTTCCATTATAGTCGACAGTTAGATGAAAGAATTAAAAATTATCTGCAACACTATTGAAATAAATGGATTTGTTCATATGAAAAAATTAATACAAACCGAAGATAAATATAACTACACGATACTTATAAATTTTTTTCCATATTTTTTTTTATTTCTTTTTATATTTGTTCTTCTTTGCAATCTTTAAGTATTAAATCGATTTTTAAAATCGTATTTTTACAGTATCGATGTAATCAAAAGTTCATAAACACGTATCTGGCGGAAAAGGAGGCATTGAAAAAGGAGAAGGAGCGATGGAAACGCATGCAAAAAAGCGCAATCAAGATTCAAGCTTGGTGGCGAGGCGTTATGGTGCGCCGGAAGTTGGGACCATATCGACTTGCGGAAAAAAAGAAAAAACGATCAACTAAAACAAAGAAGTAACCCTCTTTCCGTTTTATTTACCCCTTAATGCCTGTACAGATATGATCTTCATCCTTCTTAGAATAATATTTAAAAATAATATTTTTTTTATCTAATTTTGTTTTGTACATGTTTTATCTTTTGTCGATATATTCATTATAAATAGATATATTTAAAAAAATGTGTGAAAAATGAATTCCTATTAGATAAAAATTTAAAAGAAATATTAATTTATACAAATATATTATAATTCAATTGATTATATAAAAGATAAAGAGAAATGTGTGTCGTTTATTAAAGATAAATTTTTACTTAAAAAATGAAAATCATGAAAACTAACTAAAAGAAACTAACTTAAAAAAAGAAATCAATAAGTTATTCAAATTCAATCAATCACAGATAAAGAAAAAAAATATAATTTATAAATATCTTGACAAACGATTTAAATGATTATGATTCTGCTCTAATTATTATTTCATTTTTTTTTATTCTACTATATATAATTTTGTTTAAAATTTTTTATTTTTTATATTAAATAAATAAATGAAACAATTAAATAAAATAAATAATTTTGAAAATGAATATTGATATCTGAATGATTTTTTTTTAGATTTTATTTAGATTTTATAAATATTTCGATATTTGATTCCATAATAGCTTTAATTAAAATTTTCTATAGTTATCTTCTATTATATAAATTTCCAATACATTTTTTTTAAAATTTAAATGTTTGTTCATTAGGCGGGAATCATAGATTATTATTCGATATTCGATTCGATTCTTCGATATGAAATAATAAATTATTTCGAGTTATTTAAGAAATATATATAACTACGTAAGTCAAATCAAACTCAATCCAAAATCAGATTAAATTTCTCTGTCTATTCTCAGCTAGCAATCAATTTAAAATTCTTTCAATTAAAATATGTGAATAAAATTGGAAAATAAAATTCAAAGAAACAAATATATTTAATACAGTCTGTATTCGATTGTTGCTTTATTTTTTTTCATGTTAATCTCTAACCCCTAAGTCAATTATTAGTAATACCGATTACCATTAGACTACATGTAGCCACATAATTATAGAATGAATTAGTAAATAATTACCTAACTGTTAATTGAACACTTTCGCTAATCACAAATTAATGTATTAAATATATACGATAAAAAAATGATATATTAAAAAAGAATTAACTTTTATTTATAAATTTAGATTAAATTTCAATTTTAAACATATTTAAATATTTAAAAAAAAAAATATAAAGTTAAAATTAAAAATAGTTTACATGAGATTTTTTCTTTTTATAAGAAAAAATTGTTTACATAAAATATATTTTCAAAGATAAAATCTATTTTTCTTTATATATCAAGTACAAAGAGTAAGACAATTTTTATGAATAAGTTTAACAGATTATTATTCGTAAAAACGAATATTATAAACATCAGTATACATAAACTATAATTAATGTAAAACATGATATCAATAATTTTCTCAAATCAATATGTTATATATTTAATATTATTTATATATAAATGCAAAAAGAAAACAAAAAATTATTTGGCTTAAATATATCTTTATATTGTTATGTTTCAAGGACGAAGTTGTTACTGATTAATCATTTTTGGCACAGTAAATGTCATTATAACAAAATTTATGTTCCATGAAAATTTCTTGATTTCAAATATTTTAAAAAATAAGTAATTTAAAAATTTACACAAGAAAGAATATTTAAAGCAAAAAGTTTAGAAGTAAAATATTTTAATATTTGTATTATTAATACGTAATAGTTCTATTTCTCATTGTTTACATTGTCTAAATGCTGAAGGATTAATTTCAATTTTTATAAATCATTTACTGGCATTTAACGTTAATGTTTTCAATGATTCATTAGTACTTATTTGTTCTTTATGATTTTAAATGATAAATAAATCATTGAATGTTAATGAGGAGCAATGCAATTAAATTATTTTCTTATATAGAACATTTTTTCATATAAATGAAATTGATTTTTGGAAGATATTTAAAATAAAGATATTGTTTATCAGCATACAAGTATCAGCTATTTACATTTGGTGTTCCACATGTTACTGTATTGCGTATTTATATGCTTATCATAAATTCTTATATGTATTAAATTATTGATATTACAAAGTCATTACATGCAGAAAGTATATATTCCGCTGAGAAACATCGATGTACATTCACACGAGTCGCGAGTATCCATGATGTATTTTACAGTTCAATCAGAAATTCAACAATGTAATGATATTAATTTTTAATAACATAAAATTGAAGATATCAGCGTATAAGTAGTTAATTTTTAAAAATATGTATAATTTTCATAATTCATTACAATATTTTACAAATGAATATTCTTATAAATAATATTTCACATAACTTTATCATGCTTTACTTTGGCAAGATAATGTAATATTTCAATGCTATGAATTATATAAACATGTTTTATTCATATTTATATAAAACAAGATCAATTTTTAAAAAAATTGTTAAATAACAATATTTACATATAGTAAATTGTACAAAGAACTTTTTATTACTTAAGAAATGATGAAATTAATTAAAATAAATATTTAATTTTATCACTACTATCTTATTATTGCACTTTAATTTATAAATTGAAATTACATATAAATAAAATAAACTACTTTCATTCTGATGTCTTCAATTCCCAATAATAAATCTCTTTCTCTCTCTTGAAACGTTATCTTACACACTTATTATGTGTGATATTTATACATATACATGTATTTGTTTACATGCATATACTTAAAATTTCTTTACCTAAATTAAATTTAAAAAGTTTAGATAAGATTTTTTTCTGAAAATATTCGATAAGTTTGCAAAGATGATTTCCATAGCTATATATAATGAATACTATTAAAATTTCATTTTACTATTGAGTTATGCAATGAGCATGAATGTAATGAATAAAGATAGGACTCGTAAAATACGGAAAAATTTCAATTTAAATTTATATTATGTCAGGATCCTTAAAATTTCGTCTCCAATTCCTGACAATAACGTATTATTGTCACCTTTACCTTCAATTACCAAATTTCTTGATGATTTCTGTAAAAAAATTTTATTATATCTTTATTAAAATCATTAATAATATTAAATTTTAAAAGATAAAATGTTTTACTTACATTACATTTTAATAAAAGGCACACATGATGTCCCTTCAAAGAATGTCCATATAAAGATGCAGTATCATTGATTTGTTCCACAAGTGTAAGATTACACTTATTACAAATTAAATTTAAAATAACATCAAAATCTTGAGAAAGAATAATTTCTTTTTTAACTTTATATATAAGTTGACCACTTTTAAGTAATTCTGTTAATATATCCTTATGTGAAAGGTGGCCAACCATGAATTTACCGCACGTTAAATGTATAGTAAAATCAAGTTTTTCTTGCAACGTACTTTCTTTGCTTTCTAACATATACGTAAGTGTGCCTCTCAACCTCTGAGCAAATGTTACATCTGAGATTAAAATAGTAAATTGTGTTTCTTTAGTGATCTGTGGAGGCAATTGGAATGGCAGTTTTATACCAAATTCATCTCCAGTCTAAAAGAATCATATATATTTATTAAAACAGATTCTTTATTTTATTATTATAGCAAAAAGTAAATAATAAGTTAATAATAAGAAATAATATTTATAAAAAGAAAAAGGAAAATAATAAATTTTGAAAATATATAATTTTTTTGTTTAAAATTTGTTATGTATAATTAACTTACATTTCTCATTAATCTCAAAGATGATGTATCTGGAACATCAAAAACTAATTCCTTTACAGGCTTTTGACAATTATTCGTAATGAGTATTGACGCAATTAATTTATTTGATTCATGAGGAATTTGTTTTAATTTGTACATTATAGATAGTATTTTATTATTAGCTAATTCTTCATATGAAGTAAGTGGTTCTAAAATTGTATTATCCTCAGAATTTGTAAAATTATATCTTAGATCTGGTAATATTTCTTTAGATGGTGTTGAGATTCCAGCTGTTTCTTCATAATCTGAAGATTTTTTTGAAGATTCTTTTTTACTTTTAGATTTCTTTGATTTTCGATGTTTTGAGTTCTCATCTGTCTTTTTATACTTTTCTTGACTTTTTGATTTTTTGCGTTTAGTATCTTTCCATTCTGATTCTTTTTCACTGAGAACTTCAGAATACTCATTAGTAACAGGTGGTTGAATATTTTCCGAAGAAGTATTATTTTCCAACCACATATTAGTAAGTTCTAATTGATTGTCATAGCATTTATCTTTAACTTCTTTAATCTTCTTTTTAGATTTTTTATGTCCCTATAAAATACAATAAAATAATATTTAATTGTGGTAACAATTTCTTTGTCAAAAAAAAATTTATATTTAATATTGCAACAAATGAACAGAAATAAAATATTACTTTTTCTTTTTTCTTTCCTTTAGATTCAGTAATTTCTTGACTCAAATTATTTTCAATAACTCTATGTTCTAAGACAGGTAATCTTTCATCATCTCTCAAAGGTAAATCTAGATTAATATTTAAAGCTCTATGTGGATCATTTATATCCACTTGATCATAATCATCGCTGTCACTTAATTCTGCACCTGGTGGTAATTCACCTATTCCAGTATTTACTACTTGAATAGGATAAATATCATCATGCTCTTCTTCCGAAGCAGGCTTCTTATCTGAAAATTTCATTTTTACAATTTAATATCTTATAATGATTATGAATTATATGTACATATAAAATTTCAACATACTTTTCTTAGATTTTTTCTTTTTCTTGTCATGTATTTTATATCTTTTATGATTATTTGTAATTTTTAAAGAAATTGGAATATCTAACTCTGCTACGGGAATGTTTTCAAATTCCTCATAAATATTTGATGAATTATGATATGATGTGGAATTTTTAAATGTGCCTTTCAAATAATGTGGATTGTTTTGTTGTTCCAATTTTCTAGCTTCACGGCGTTTTTCAAGTTCTTCTGCTG